CATAGAGAAGTACCTAGTGCTGGCTGTAGACGTACAACAGTACTTTAGTAAGTTTTTGAGTCATTTGAGTAATGATGTTAGGGACGGGTACTGGCTGCGGATGTCCCGCATTACCTGGGCTCTGGACCCATTGTGAGAGAGAACGCTAGTAGGCGGGTACTGGTTGTGGATGACCCGCAGTATGTGGATGACCCGCAGGTATTTCGTGCGCCGTACCCTTAATACCTCTTAACAACCCAAGTTTAGCCGTGGCAGGATGCAACTTCGGTTGTAGTTTTGCGGGGTTCGGAGATAGATTGATAATACTCCGATAGAGTAAAGTTGCTACTGCAAATTAAGTTATAGGTAGATAACTGTTGACTCCAAGTGATGCACTCTAGGTGACTCGCTCCTTGTTTGAGGCACGTTTGGCGCTTGTAGCTGATTCTGACATGTTTTAATGATTCTCATAACAATAACATAAATCAAATTCTTGTTGAACTGGTTACTCAATTACTTTTTCTAAATTGATTTCAGATGTATTCTCTCGATCGACCACCTGACGAACTGCCATTACACATTGTCTACCGTTTGGGAGTGCAAATATATGTTTTTATAGTAGTTGATGTTTACTTGTTACTAAGTATAAACGAACGAAGAGTGTGTCCACTTCAGACGACGACACTATAGATGAGCGAGACATCACTAGTGGAAACAGAGCGCCCGTGTTTTTTTAATTATAAATGAATCGCACGTCAAAACACATAAAAAAGAAAGCAAATCGTGCTCGCAGCACGAAGGATGGCTCGCGTGAGTCCATCGCTATTAAAACCTCGTATAAACACCTTGTAACAATTAGTTTTCAGCTTGGCAGTAATGCGCTCACTTGACGGCGGCGCTAACCGATTACAACCGACCGCCACTAGTTATCTGATGCGCGTCTGTTTGCTCTTTCTTCTCTAATCTTGGCGATTTCCATCCCCCAGACCAACCGTCCTCCTCTTCGCTAGTACCGCCTCTCACCTGTGTCACCAATCAATCAGCCAATCAATCGATCAAGATCAATGACAATTCCGCAAGTTAACGCACTGATTGGTCAAGTCGGTGGACCGTCCTACATACCCACTGAGCCCCATCAGTAATGACTCTTCTACAGCTCGTTGGTGCAAATTCAAAGCGGCAACGATGTGCCTAGACAGCCTTAAATCAACCAACATTTCCATCATCCATGTGGCTGCAAAAATGCTGTTGTCTTGCGACGTCGCAAAAAACGGCCCACTCGGTCATCCATAATGTATGAATAAATAGCGTTTTGCCGGCATTTTTCGAATTGCCCATCGATCCGAAGAGCGGCAGGGCAACGTTCCTCGAGGCCCACAATGGAGACATGTCAGCTTGTTAAAAATACTTTATTGCCTTTCGTGTTCTGTCCGATGCGATTGTCTTCGGATACGACAAACAGTCAAATTTATTTAAGTGCCCGTGCGATTGCCGGTAGGTCCGACTTGTCTCAACATGTCAGCGAATCATAACGATCGCTGCCACAGTCAATTCGCCTTTCAATGTGTCTCGGCCAGCGCAGCCATCACTCAGCGATCGGCTGTTTCACGGGCTTCACGCGTCTTTTCAACCCCACAGATTCATCGCTAACAATTTCTTTTCACCACCAATCACCATCATTTTATGGGGTTGAGAGGGTAAACCTAACCTATTTCATTGCCCGACCACCTCGCTTTCTGCGCTTGTCTACAGGGTGTTTCAAAATTGGCGTCATTCCTCTGGAGGTTTGGTGTTTACATAAATAATCCATACACCACCAAACATTTGAATGGTTAACTCCAAACAAGCTGGTGCCTGTGTAGTCTCCTTATTATCCACTCTTATCAAGCAGCTTCTCGTATTCAGTTAATTAACTCCTGCTCAATTTGTATCTCCTTGTGCTGTGTGTATGGTACAAACGTGGTAGGAATGTAGCCCTTCCTCGGTATTATTTGGTGCTTGGGAAAGTGTCAGTTATTGTGCTCTGAGTGCCCCTGGAAGGCCCTGTTTCGGTTATGTCAAATACGTGTTCCTCTGTGCTTGCAACTCGAACATCTATCGTCCACTATCTTCCTCAAGCCACTCTCCTCGCCCTTTTTTGGCTTGAGTTCTTTCAGGTTCTGCTATCTTACTGTAGCATTTCCTCTGAACTAAGCGCATATCCGCAAATTCGTGAAAGAAAATTCTAAGTAAGTCACAGTTTGACAAATTATTGTTATTACTAACAAGGGCTATCCACCTGTAACTATCTGTTAATGACGAAAAACATCATTGCCGCTGTGCCTTTTCATTAAAAAATTGTAGAAGAGAACTGTTTTGATATCGAAAATTTTCGTAATTTGAAGCAAAGATCGTAATTTTTCTTTGTGAATGCTTAGGTATTCCAATATGCTACAAATTAAACATGGAACAATTTCTAAATAATGCTTAATAACAAAGTTGAAAATTGATCTTCAACTGTTAATATCTTCTAGAAATTTTCTAAAAAAAAAATGTTCTATATTTTTCTCGTACTCCCCAAGTGAACCTCTATCACCCCTTAAAAGAAATTACACCAATTTTGAATCACCCTGTATAGGGGCCCACTTAGAGACTACGAGAAAAATATTGAAAATTTTGTGTTCGAAAATTTCAAGAAGATATTAACAGTTGAAGATCAAATTTCAACTTTGTTGTTAAGCATTATTTCGAAAATGTCCCACGTTCAATTGGTAGCTCATTTAAATACTTAAGCATTCCAAAAGAAAAATTACGATCTTTTTGTCAAATTACGAAACATTTTGACATATTAAAAAAGTTCCCTTCTACAATTTTTTGATGAAAAGTCAAAACGGCAATGATGTTTTGTGTCATTAACAGATAGTTACAGGTTGACAGCCTTTGTCAATAATGACAAGCATTTGTCAAACTGTGGCTTAGTTTGAAGCTCCTGTCACAAAATGTAAACCAACAGCGAATTTGCGAATATGCGATCAGTTATGGGAAAATGCCACAGTAACAGAGCAGAAGCTGTAAGAACTTACACCAGCAAAGGGCTACACAATCTAAAGCTGCTCGATTTCCAGACCTAGAGGAACAGATATTGGATATTATTGCAGCTGAGCCTTCCAGGAGTCCTTGAAGCATTGCACAACAACTGCACTTTCACAAACACCGGATACTTAATTGTCCCGATAACTCCTCAGAGGAAGGGCCTACATTCCTACCATGTATGTAATATGCACAGGACACTAAAACACATTAAATCTCTGGTCTTCCGAGCGCCGGTACAAATTGAGCAGCAGCAAATTAACCGAACACGAGAAGCTGCTCAAAATATGAGCCCAGGCTCAAAGTGATTGGGACACAAAGATGTTTGGAGTGAAACGGGCAGAACTTCTTGCTCTTGGGAACACTTCTTGTGTGTTAACAACAGAATTGTACTTTATTTGATCAACGATACATAACCTTTAACTGGTCGTTTTGGATGACACTTGTGACCGATTTAGATATAGCACTCATTTGCCGCAAAAAGATGGCAGCACTGACCCCAAGGTGACACCGTTATCCTAACCTCAAGGCATGTTACTGTCTATCTTATTGTCAGTGTAAAATTCCATGGTTACCGGAGTTTCTAATAATTACGAAGGAACACGTATTTACGAAATGTCAATTAGGCAGATTACCTTGAAACACATTGTTGCCATCCTTCTGACCTAGTTTTTTGCAAATATCTGAGTTTTTAATAACATTGAATTTTTTTACTATTTTTCCTGTACTCCCAAGACACCCCCAGACAACACCCCCCGAGGAATGACGCCAATTTTAAATCACCATGTATCAAGAAACTTAAATGAAGCTCAGTTTACGGAATAAAACGCCATTCTGGACTTAGATTTGGGATCTAAGAGTCCTCGAAAGTTTGGGAACTTGATCTGCAACCGATTGACCAAAATTCTGTTCGATCTCCCCCAACCAAAGCGGTGAGAGTCGAATGACGAAAGACATTTACGTGAATGAACGAATGCAAATGGGTGAGAAAACACGAACAGCCCGAACAAAAGAAACGAACGGCTTAACGAAATGTAATAAACACCCGGTTAATTTATGTTATCTCGACGAGGCATCCATTGCGGTTAAAAACGTTAATATCCGGTGAAAATTCGGATCATTCCATAATGTATGCGAGTAATGTATTGTTTCTTGGCGGCCTTTGTGCCGGATGAAAAAGTCGGACGGAAAATAGTTTAAGCGTTTTTAGGCGGTTTGGCGCCCCCACCCACTGCACGGCTCTTCGTACAGGAAGGTAAACACGGCTTTATATTGTAATTTGTCCGCTCTACCATGAACCGAATTCTACATGTATAATTAGGTAAAGCTGCGGACTTCGCATAATCTGCTGGCGTTTCTCTCGCCAACTGTAATGTTTTATATTTGGCGCCTGGCTTTCTTTTTCGTTTTGTTCATTCCATTCATTCGCTTTTGCGTCGGCAACAGTTTCACTACACTAAAACAGCACCTTCTGAGTAAATCTCTTATGCCCGGTTACATAAGCTTATGAGTCTCATAAACTACCAAAATCACGTCTGTTGGGTTTCTCAACGTCTGTTTAAAGCTTATTGGTTCCATAAGTTATCGAATAGATATCTACTCGAAGATGGATGGATATCGGCTTCATAACGTCTGACGCAAGCGTGTAGGGTTTGTTTTAATTTTTACCACAGAGCGATTCTAACCTAACATAACCTATTCTTATTACATAACAGCATTGCATAACAGTTTTGTTTTGTTTAACGTATGAAAATGTATTATAATTATTTAAAATGGATAATTCGAGTTCATCTTCTGATGATGAAATTATTGAACTTCTAAGTTATATTGAACGGCCAAGACGGTATCTTGAACGAGAGGACCAAATGAACAAATATGGATATTCTGAATTCGTTTAACGAAACACTGTTTCAGTGTATGTTATGGACCTTATTGGGGACTACCTTAAAACCTACTGTGACTAACTACCTACTGTGAGAAGGAATTCTGTTATGCTGAATTCAGATAAAAACATCAAATCTGTGGCTGTTTTTTGAAACATCTTCCAACCATATGTTTACCGACCGATCAAAATGAGTTTTTTTGTGGCGTCATCTACCTTGCGATGCACAAAAGTGAAAGTTCTTTACTATCCGCTTCTTTTTTACCGGTATTGC